ATTTATCTTGATACGGTAAGTGTTCACACTAGACTACCATTTCAAATTAGTTACAAAATCATGTTCCACTCTTGGTGTCATTCCACCAACGAAACGTTGACTTTTGAGAGAATGCGCGCTTCTGCTGGAGTAATGGCGCGGCTTACGATGTCCCAAGTGCAGGCCTTGCTTACGGTCTTGATTACTGCGCAGCAAGATCTTTAAAAGCTAATCTCCTATGGATACACAGCTGTACATATACCGGATACCTAAGAACCCCCTCCCCAATGCGACACCTTTTCGATAACAACTATTGCGAGCATGAAGGTAGAAAGTGCGTACGTTCAATAACGAAGTTTTGCAGACAAAAACTACGGTTTCAAAGCCATTTTGAACATAAATTATTTGAAATTCTCAGAATACCAACATCTACCAAATATAATTAGAAAAAAGGGCCTGTAGTTTTTAAAAATGCGATTGTATTATTGGATATCATAAACTTGATCAGTCAGTTGTGCTCTTATAACCCATTGCAGCATTGCTTCTTAACTTACATCAAAATAAACCACAGAGAATTGAACTTTCACAAAATGTCCGTTCAAAACCGTGGCTTGACGTAAGGTGGAAATTTGGTGATTCAAAAAGACATCCTTTCATTTTACGTTTTCGGGCGTCTTTTCACCTAGGCGTGCGACCTACCTTGCTTAGTAACTCTGAGACCAACAAAAGACTAATCCACACAACAAAGGGATATAAGTGTAGGTAGAAAATAACGGTAGAAAAGGAAATAAAAGAGGAACGATGTTGAATGTTGTGTCACATGTTTTAGCATGTGAAAAAGTGGGATTTTGGATGATAGCATAGAGATAGCTAGCGTGCCGGGTATATGCTCAAATAATTGTAAGTAAAATAATATCTTGAAGCTAAACATAATTTCAGATTTTCAATAAAGAAGGTTGGACCCTTTGAATAATGCTTATTCTATCGATGAAAGCAGTTCTCAATTTAAGTAGTTTATTGTAGCAGCAAGGATTTAGTTTCCATCCTTAAGCAATGATACCTGAAGTTATAATTAAGGGCGACTCGCTGTCGGTCTTGAGGTGACAGTAATGCCTCCCCAAGCACCACCTCTGACGTTAGCAATTTTGCAGAAATTTCAAAATTTTCTAAGTGTCGTACGAGATAGATTGAGAGTCGCTGATTTTGAATAGATGATTGTAATTTTCTTTCGTTATAATTTTCTTTGTTGTTTTCTTCGGTATAAAGGAGTTATCGATGCGGCGCTTTCAATGCGATATCGCGTTTATTTCGCAAATTTTTACGCCGGTATTGTTTTATGGTATACTTTCTAAATCCTCTCATATGCTGTAGAATGCTGTAATCTGGTCTTCAAAAAACCCATTTTCGAGTGAGTTACGACCTTGCAGACGTTTCATCACGATATTCCTTCGCAAATATACCCCTTCTAAGAAACAAGAATGTCTAAAAAGTGACATATTTTTTGAAACCTTAGACCACCTTAAGTAGTATGAGCTATTTGATTTTTATAAAACCCATTCTAAGGTGAATGAATTAGCGACGGTTTTAGATTAATCCATCGCCACCCGAGTTACGGGCTGTAATGTATTTCCAGAAGTTTGAGTAAACGTGAGCAATTTTATGTGATGAACGATAGTGAATGGATTACATAATTCAATTTAAAGAACGATGCCTTTGTAAGACTTTGGCGTTTTTGGGTGCTTCCTTATAAGGGCAGTGCTGTATTGAATTCAGGCCATTACCTTAACTGTGTTCGGCGTTTTAATAACAAACTGAGCTTTTCTTTAACTTAGTCCCAAAATTTCTGGGATATACTAATAGTTTTTGAACTTGAACGTGCGCGCTAATATGATTAATTTGAGTCCAGTGCTATCCTTCTTCATATGTGAAACTTCTTGCTTTCATTTGCTAACTCACAATGCATTTTTAAAGTATTTAGGCCAACAAAGCTTTGAAAAATCTGCTATAATGATCCGTACGCTCTATTCTTCGGTATATTATAATCATCGCGAATACTCAAAGCTCAATTTATGAGAACAATGCATTCAAAGGAGTTCATCGTCCGCAAGAAGTCAGAAGTACCATGACATTAATATGTTGGATTTTATTTCTCATGCATTCTCCTACTAATCCGTTGAGGACCGGGAAAGCAGATAATGTTTCATCCTATCTTAGCTTCCTGACTTTATGGATGGCGCCAATAACGGGTGCACAAGGTTGTTGCTGGATTCGATTAAAATAGCAGATTCTTACTGTTAAGACTGCATGTACAACACTAGAGGGTCAAGTTTCAAATTGTTCAAATATTGTGCGGAATTTCGACGCCTTTGCTCACTTTATCGCAGGGCATTCGGGACAAATCAGTTACTGTGTTCAGACGAGGCGCACACTCTATATTCTTCAACATTCATGTAAAATACAACCCCTAAAAGTCCGGTCTCATCTAATATTAGCAATAGCGCAGGGAATTTTCAAGAACATATGATGTCAACAGAACCGAGCGCGAATCGCTTCTCATTTTATGTGTCATAGTGCGGCTTAAAATTAAGGATTTATTTCTTTCTTATAACCGAGCTTTGAAAATAGGTTTCTCGCAAATAAAATGTTAAGCAGAGTTTTTGATCATACCGTAAATATAAGTTATGTTCTGCGTGCAAAATTGGTTGGGAGACATGTTTCAAGTAACACATCTCGTTAATTTTGTCCGTAGTGAACTAATTATCATTACCTATAATAAAGCAAAAAGTTTGTCTGTATCTGTTTGTATATGTGTGTTTCTCTGTCTATCACAATTAGTTCTTTTGTCCTAAGGAAATTAAAGAGCCGTTATCAGTTATCATGTTAACCGCAGAGTACTAGGTAAACATGAGCAATTTTGTTGTGAAAACGTAGAAAGTTGATGTTCATATCGTGTTGCTGTGGGAATGCACAGCAGTGGGATCAACTGGCCTCTGCGAGTTTTTCCTTCAGGATGGCTTAAAAGGTGAAATCAAACTTTCAGACCTTTCGCAGTAAAGCGCATTCGATGGTTCTAAATTGTAATTTTGCTAACAATGTAAAAAATCAAATTGATTCTTTTACACGAACAGTGCGAACCTCTCCAAAGGAGAATTAAAGCACTGATTACTAATAAAGCCCAGAATCAGTCTCTGAATATCGGTTCCAATTGAAAGGGATTTGAATTGAGAATCACTGCTTCTGAGATTGCTGACCGGCTCCGCCTCTTGGTCCACGGCCTGGCCCACCTTGTCCTCCCATTGGTGGAGCGTTTTGCCCATTCGGACCACCTGCTCCCCTCTGTCTTCCCATCGGAGGATGTCCTTTTTCAGTGCTGTTTCTCTTAACGTATCATTGTGAGATGGCTTGATGTAATCAATAGATTTGGAAATTAGCTAAGCGACCTACCCGAGGTTGTCCTGCATTTACTGTTGTTGAGCAGATGAGCGCTAGAAGAAGAAGAGCAAACAGCTGAAAAGATGAGAATGAGTTCATCGAGGAAAAGAAGAGTTCATACCATGGTGAAAACTTTGAGGGCTCGGTATGCGCAGCTGTTGAGCGATGGAAAGCGGCATTTTTGATGGCATTTTATATCTCCGGTGTTGTTCCAGTTCTATGCTCCCTGGATGATGCCAATTTCAAAAAACATTCAGACGAAATGAGTTTCAGAGCGAAAATTTGGAAATCATAGATGTGCACGTTGATACTACTGACACTGCGAGCAAATACCAATCACTTCCGCAGTTTCGTTATGGAGTAGGGAATGTGCGAACAGATTTGGGTGCATCTCATTTGGAAGCATCACTTCATTAACTCAACAAACAATCCTATCATATAATGATAGTCATAGTCATCCAATCTTTTCTTGCCTTTTTTTCAAAATTGTTTTTAATGTTCTCTAGTTCTGCCATTTGGTAGGTACGTTAGAAAAGTAATCGCCCCTATAGGTCCTGTCCCTTTCAGTATCCCAAACTTCAATTGTCAATCGGATACATTCTTACGCTTCTGC